CTTATATATGCTTGACAAATAAATAAACTTAAACTTAAACTTAAATTTAAAAGAAGAAAGGCATTAACAATTGATTGAACAATCAGTGTCCAAAACCCATATATCATATTAATTCCTTTTTCTATTTTGGCTCTTGATTTTGGACAAATTATATCAGTAAAATACACATATTTCTGATTTCAGAATACATTGCCTTCTTTCAATTTGCATCATTTGCAACTGGATATTAATTGGCTTAAACATTGATACCACCCCCCCAGGGGTGAAATGCTCCCGGTTCAGACCGGATCGCCCGATCCGGTAGCGATGGAGGTGGGTGGTTCGGAGAACTGGTAGCAAAAATCCCTGCCCCCCCCCATTGCCCATCTGAGCTGCGCAATCATCAGAGGCTTTTTTTTTATTTTTAAAAGCATTTTTTCTACAACCTTTTTGGCTGAAAAAATGCTTTTAAAAGGATCATCAGAGGCTTTTAAAAGCATTTTTTCTACGAAGAGGTTATAGAAAAAATATTTTTAAAAGGAAAAAAAGCCTCTGCCGATCAGGCAAGTCAGTTGGTATTGTCAGAGGCTTTAAAAGCATTTTTTTTACAACCTCTTCAGCCGAATATAAGGGGGCCTTGGGGTCGACCTCTGCCCCCCTGCCAACACAGACTGCAACCGGTCGGAGAGAAAGGAGGAGAACCACCGCAGTACAGTGCCCCCTACTCCTAACTCTTCCAACCGGTGCAGCATGATACCATGGTCAATGGTATCAAAAGCCGCTGAGAGGTCTAACAGGACCAGGACAGAGGAGCACCCCCTGTCCCGAGCCCTCCAGAGATCATCTATCAATGCGACCAATGCCGTTTCCGTGCTGTACCCGGGCCTGAAGCCCGACTGGAACGGATCCAAATACGTCGTTTCATCCAGGTGCTGGGGGAGCTGTTGCGCAACCACACTCTCGACAACCTTCGCCACAAAACAAAGGTTGGAGACCGGACGATAATTAACCAACATTGCTGGGTCCAGGGAAGGCTTCTTGAGGAGAGGCCTCACCACCGCCTCTTTCAAGGCGGCGGGGAAGTCACCCTCACCCAACGAAGCATTTATAATCCCCTGGAGCCAGCCTCACGTCACCTCCCGGGAAGCCAGCACTAACCAGGAGGGACACGGGTCCAATAAACAAGTGGTCACGTTCAGTCTGCCCAGAATCCTGTCCACATCCTCAGGGGTCACAGGATCAAACTTATAAATAAAAATCAAATTTTAAAATTTTTTTTAAAAAAAACCCTAAAACTAAGGAGAAACTTCCTGACAATGAGAACAATTAACCAGTGGAACTACTTGTCTCCAGACATTCTGGATGCTCGATCACTGGAAGTTTTTAAGAAAAATCTGGACAGCCATTTCTCTGAAATAGTATAGGGTCCCCCACAAAGTCGCTTCTAAGTGTTATTCTGTTATTCTGACGCCTTTCCCAGGCCCTCACTCACCAGTGGCTTGTTGGGTAGAGAAGCAGGAACTTGCACCATGGGGGATCCCCACTCATGGGTTGGCCCCAGATTTGCTGCCTACTCCTTGCCCTCTTCTGGGTGGTGGCGGTCATGCCAGACTTGCCGGGGTAGACCAGTGTCACCCTCAGTGTGCAGGCTCCCATAGGGAGCCTCTTGTTTATCCTTCTCCACCCTAATTGGCTTAATTACTGAAGAATCCAAGCAAGATCCTATTATCCTGAGACTTGAGTTGCTGGAACAAATTTTTCCATGTCTCTCTCTTGGCTGGACTGAGTTGAAAAACTGGAGCTCAGCCGGGCAAAGGGAGGTGTGGCCGAGAAAATTCTAGCAACTCAGTCTCTGGCAATAGGATTGAAGTTAACTCTTGTTTAGATTCTCCAAGCAGCGCACTGGAGATTTTAATGTTCTATGGAATGAGGAAGGATAGCTATTTCATTGAGGGGGCCTTGGTACTCTCTGAACTTGGTTGTTTTCTTGCACATCAATGTGCATTAGATGATATTACCTAGTTATGTTCATGAAACATCTGCAAGAAAACAACCAAGCTCAGAGAGTACCAAGGACCCCTCATTTCAACCCCAAGGTACAAATATTCTCCTTTGTTGGAGCCATTTCATTTTCAGATATTGTCATAGGAAGAGAGGAACCCACAAAATTATACTGCTACCATTTCTTGGATCGAGAATCTTACTGAGTGTGTAAGGATTTATATTCACAGCTTTGGATTTCATGAAATAGATCTGGTATCACTGCAATGGCAACAGCATGGAATAATCTCATTTATGAACAGACATTGCTAAGAAGCTTTCCAACACAATTCCATGACTTCAGTTTCTCTTTCCCTCCCTCCCTCCCTCCCTCCCTCTCTCTCTCTCTCTCTCCCCCTCCCTCCCTCCCTCCCCCACCCCCTCTCTCTCTCTCACACACACACAATTTAAGCAAATTCCCTTGTTTTGGAGACTTCAGAATCAGAAGGTACCTTGGAGGTCTTATAGTTCAACCTTCTGCTCAAGGCAGAAGACCTCATACATAGGCAGGTTCACAGATATCCCGGCTTTGGCTTCAAGAACTGCATGCAGCCTTCCCCACCACACACTTCCTCCTCCTGCTGCCCATGCGATGCAGGATGCCTCAGAGAAATCACCCCAGACAGCCCTCCATGACGGAGCAAAGCAAGAACTTACTGATGGCGAGTTCTAGAGTGGCGGCGGCAGGAGAGCTCCAAGCGCTGGCAGCGGCACTCTGGGAGGGCGGCCCTGGGAAACCGTCTTGTGTAGCACAGCAAAATTTAGCAGCCATGAGCCATGCTTTCCTCTAAGTCTCATGCAGAAAGCCCTGCTGGCAACAGAGGGAAACAGGTGCTTCTCTCTGCACAGAGCTTTCCAGATGAGACTTAGAGGAAAGCGTGGCTGGAGGCTTCTTCTTGCACCGAAAACTACCAGTGGCTGGAGGCTTCTCGCAAAAGGCAGCCAAGCCTCACCATGTCCCCCTCACCAAGGCGGTCCTTCAGAAGGTGAGTGAGGCAGAGGGTGAGTGTGCGGCATGCGGGCAGAGGCTCCGGGAAAGGCCTGAGCCAGGAACTGGTGCGTCCACTGACCAGAGGCGGAGGGTGGGCAGCATGCGGGTGAAAGGATGGCAAGGGCCAGGTCTGAAAGGTGGCCAAGTCTCACTGCTTCCACCCCGAGGCGGCAGCCTAGGCCAGGCCAGGAATTGACTCAACCAGGGCTTGCTTGCAGGCTCACTTAGCCAGGGAGATCAGAGACATGGCAGAAGGCAGGCAGCAATGGCGGGCAAGTGGACGAGATGAGGAGTGACTAGGCAGGTTGGGTGAGCGGGTGGGCAGAGCGGGGTGGGCAGGGCCAGCCAGAATTTTTACTAATGGTTCACCCAAACCAGGCTGAATCCCACCACTGATTATATCTATCCCAGTGCACAAGGCCTGATATAACCAATGCTGTTAGCATATTAAGTCAGGATACTGCAGCACCAAAACAGCACCACTGGTTAGGATTAAAAAGAATATTAAGATATCTTAAAGGAACAATGGGTTTAGGACTGTGGATAAAACTATCTGGTGACCTCTCATTAAAATGTTATGTAGATAGTGACTGGGCAAATGGTCTACGGGATAGAAAATAAAACACAATATTTGTGGTATTATTTGCTGTCACTGTAATTGGATGGAGATCCAGAAAACAACCTTCAGTAGCACTCTCTACTGCTGAAGCGGAATTCATAGCTTTGTCTGAAGCTTGTTTAGAAATAACCTGAGCAATTGTACAATATGTACAATTACTAAAGGATGTAAATGTGAATGTAAAAGAAGCCATACCAGTGTTTGAAGACAATGTTGCATGTATAAAGATGGCAGCAAAAAATCGTATTGGAAGCAGGAGTCAACATGTAGACATCAAATATTGTAATGTTAGGGGGGCTGTAAAGGAGAAACTAATAAGATTAAAGCAATGCTCTACTGACCATAATATAGCTGATATATTAACAAAGCCTGTATCTGTGGACAAACATCAGGAATATGTTAAAGCATTTGAATTATCAGCTGTTCAGCTTTAAATGGGATGAATGTCAGGGTAATGAAGATTTAAAGCTGACCAGCCACTGTAAGGCTGTGGACCAGGATGAGCCAGCAGGGTTATTGCTGCTTTAAGAAGCTGTCTATATAAGAGAGGCCATGAGATGGCGTATCTCTCTCTCCTCATGTATCACTCTGCTCATTGTGTTCTATCTGCATTGTAGTTATCCGTGTAGAGTTGAAGATTGCTTGCTTGCCTGGTATGTGCCTACCAGGTGTATGTATGTATATAGAAGTCTTGTATATAAACCACTGTTTGTAAGACAAACCTCTGTGTCCTTTATTTTGTTCCTGGGCTGTCTCAAAATAGTAGTCACATTGTAAACACTCTGACAAAATTGTAAAATACAAGCAACAAAGTTATAATCATAAGAAGATAAATAAGGAATAGGTAATAGAAAACATGAGAAGGATAATAGTAATACAGCCCTACTACGTAGTTTGACAGTGTTGTGGGAATTGGTTGTTTAGCAGAGTGATGGCATGGGGGGAAAAACTGTCCGTGTGTCTGTAATTACTGATTATACTGTAGTATACTGCATATTCAAGTTCCAAAGGGCAAATAAGTTCCTCACTGTATAATGTGATTGATTGCAGCAACCATTTCTAGATATACCTTGTTAAACAAATCAAAAGGTCCTATTGGATTCACACTGCAACATAAATTGTACAGTCCTTCCAAATACTTGCCATTGAAAAATTCCTAGGTACAGAACAAGTCTAAGCAGAATTATTTGCTTTTCAGGAGTCTTAAAACTGTTTGTAATAAACAACTTCAGCATAGGTTAAATAGGAGTTACTGAAATTTAATGTTAGTTAATGAAAATTTATGCAATATTTATATAATAATATAGCACATCATAAGCAGTAACAATCATTTTCAATTTTTAATCATCGAAAAAATGTAACTTCTTACAGAGATGAGAAGGGGAACCTTCCATGTGATGATACTGGAAGACATTTAGTGGGAAAGCCAGTACATAAAGGATCTGAATCTCCAAATTCATTTCTCGACCAAGAGTATCGAAAGCGTTTTAATGTTGTTGAAGAAGATGCCATTTTGTATTGTTATGAATATGAAAAAGGAAGAACAAGTAGTTCTGGAAGAAGAGAAAGCACACCAACATATGGTATGTATTAATACTATTAATTATTTAAAAGCTATTTTTTTAGATTTGTTTCTATTTACATATTTCCAATCCCAAAGATGTAAACATTGTTTATGCCTATAAAAGCTAAGTTATCATGTACTTCTTCTCACTTTATTCCTCTTTTGTGTTTCATTAAATTTAACCCAGCTGCGGAAGTCAGTTTTTGAAACCTGAATTGACCTAGGATTGTTCATTGAAATACAATGCTTGACAGTTTTATGTTGGTTCGGAGATAAGGAGGAAAGTGAATGAAAGTTGATGGATATTGCAACAAATTCAACAAGTGTCAGCGCCTCAGCGCTGGCATAGAGAGGAGAGAGATAATTTCTGAACTTTTGCCTGCTAAATCCCTTTGAAGTCGGGTTGTTGTGGAAATGAGGAGGGGGGAGACATTCCTGGGAAATGACGTGACAAGAAGTCTGGAGAATGACTTGGAAGATAGCCAATGAGAAGCAGAGAATTGGGGATCGGAAAGGGAGGGATTGGGGGGGCAAAAGGTCAGTCTTGTCCGCATCGAGTCATGATCCGGTGGCTGTGCTCAATTAAAGAAAAGATTTCCTTAAAGATTGGCAGTTTGGAAATTCATTTATTTTGAGATAGCATCGAAATCTGACAGACGGACAAGATTTAGAAAATTGGGCAAAACTACAAATTTCTTTGATAGGGAGAATTGCCACGATAAAGATGAATATCTTACCTAAAATTTTATATTTGTTCCAAACAGTACCTATAAAATTGGGGAAAACCTTTTTTTGACAAATTGAATAAAATTATTAGTAAATTCATATGGCTAGGGAAAAAGCCAAGAATTAAAATTAAAATGTTACAAGATGCCGGAAGTAAGGGTGGGTTTGGTCTTCCAGACTGGGAACTGTACCATCAGGCAGCAGTAATGTCTTGGTTCAGGGAATGGATAAATCTAAAGAATGGAAGAATTTTAACAATTGAGGGCCATGACTTGCAGAAAGGTTGGCATGTCTTTATTTGGGACGGAAAAGACAAAGCCCACAAGTATTGCTTGAAACCTGAACTATTTTTATTGGGAATTATACAAGAGAAGATTAGGAAAGAAATGTATTACCTTCTACTTCATATAATTACGGTTGCCAGAATTTCATTTGCACAAAATTGGAAACAACGATTTGCTCCATCAAATATGATGATCATAAAAAAGGTGCTAGAATGTGCAGAAGCAAATAAATTAATAATGGAATTAAAAGACTGAGAGGAAACAATTTATTATGAGACATGGAATAGATGGTATAATTGATTGGAGAAACAATCCAAAATTAATGTATAAATGTATAAACATAAGAGAAGATCATGTAATAGATAGGTATAAATTGTAGTGAATATAGAAATTAGCAAGTAATACATAAAATGTATGTATATATAGTTGGTTATAGATATTATCACAGATGCCGGTATCGGAAACCTGTAAAAATGTAATAAGGATGTTAAAGATGTACAGTAAATGTTGAATAAAAATTATCAGAGAGAAAAAAATTATCGGAAAGTTGATGGATATTTGAGCACTACTAATTTGCATAAGCTTCCATTTTCATTTGTGCAAAGTTGCATTCATTTATTTAATTAGATAAATTAAAACTGGAAAATTATAATTGTATATAATTGTATGCTATAATTTCAATTTCAGACTACGTCTGGATTTTTTTAAAGTTTTGACTTAATTTGCAAGCATTGCACAGATAGAACAAGTAGATAAATAGAGAAACATAAAAGCCCATTGAATGATTCTAACAGACTGTTTTTGCTTCCCCTCAATCCTATTATGGACATAAATATTCATGGTTGGTGTAATAAAAAAATCCAGGAAAACAATTCCAATACCATTGCCACTGTCCCTCTCCAGATTAATATCAGGTGGGGTCATTAGGGCAGTTTTTATTCTCAGAGCAGATGTAAAAGCTGGTTATATCAGTCTAAAAAAGGGAGAGATTTTGTGCAAGAGGATAATCTGTTAAATCCTCAAGCATGCAAAGACCTCATGCTTATACAGTATATGCAGTGGTGGGATTCAATATTTTTAACAACCGGTTCTGTGGGCGTGGCTTAGTTGGGGTGTGTGGCTTGGAGGTCATGTGACCGGGTGGGCGTGGCTATGTGCATAGGGACTACTCAGAGGGTTGAAAAAAGTCATTTCTGACTGGTCCTCGCACTTATGACCATCCTCACATTTATGCCCATTGCGGCATTCTTAACAACCGTGTCAGTCATTTCACCACTACTTCTCTTCACCATGGTGACAAGATAGGGCGTAAAACGTAAAATGTGAGGACAGTGGTAAATTCAAGGACTGGTCAAAAGTGTGAGGACCGGTCAAAAATAACTTTTTCAGCCTTCTGACTAGTCCATATGCACATAGGGACTATTCAGAGGGCTGAAAAAAGTCATTTCTGACTGGTCCTCACATTTTTGACCGGTCCTCGCACTTATGACCTTCCTCACATTTATGCCCGTTGCGGCATTCTTAACAACTGTGTCAGTCATTTCACCACTACTTGTCTTCACCACAGTGACAAGATAGGGCACAAAACATAAAATGTGAGTACAGTCGTAAGTACGAGGACTGGTCAAAAGTGCGAGGACCGGTCAAAAATAACTTTTTCAGCCCTCTGAGTAATCCATATGCAAAAAAGGATACAGCAATAGAGAGGGATGAAGGAAGGAGAAGAGAGATAGAAGAAAGAAGGAGAGACAGGGAAGGAAGAGAAGGGAGGAAGGGAAGGGAAATTAGAGTAAGAGTGAGAGTAAGAGAGGGAGGAAGAGAGGAGGAGGAGAAGAGGGGGGGGAAGAGAAAGTAAGAAGGAAAGAAAAGAGAGAGGTGGTAGGTTTGAGGAGAAAGATTGCTGTACAGTAAAAAAGATGAAATGGAAGAAAGGCAACCCCAAACAAATATAAAGATATTAAGATAAAGAATGAATTGTTAAACTTTAAAGAATAAAAGAGAATAAATATGAATAAATAGCAGTAATTAGAAACACACATACAAACATACAATGTATTTTCTTTGAACAGAGTATTTGGCCAGTTCACAAATTTAAACAGTGTTTAGTCATTTCAATTAAATTTACAATTTCTATATTTCCTTTTTGCCATATTTATTCCTTATCTATTTTTTTAAAAAAAACAATATTACCCTTCATCCTCATCTCTAATCTTAATCAAATTCAATTTTTCCCTTCTATTCTATATTATACCCCTTCTCATTGTCATCTATTTTTATATCCATCCTCACATTGGTTAATTATGTAATATTACAGTTGTTTAATATAAATTCAACATTTTAATATAAATCAATTACTTATATAACTATCTTTTTTGTATATTAATCAATATGAACATGAATATTCCAATTATTTCCATGCAATCCAATTTCTTACCAATCAATTAATTATATTTACCAATAATAATAAACTAAATAATTTCCCCCATATATTCCTCCAAACCACAATTTAACCATTTCTGCTTTCAACACAATATACAATTAATAGTATCTCAATTATTACAATTCCCTATTTAAATAGAGCTTTTTTTTCTTTTGTGTTTTAAAATCTTGAACTCTCCTCTTTTTCCCTAAAGAGGAACTACCTCTTTAGGGAAAACTACCTTTCCACTAAAGGTAGTTTGCACCTACCTTTTTTGGTGAGGAAAAAGAAAAGAAATCTGCCTGCCTAATTTTCCAACGTTGCAGCAACAGTAAAGCAGGCTTTTACTTTCAGTTTCGTTTTTCAGCATAGATAGAGGGAAAAAAATCTGCACTCTTTGCAAGCAAGCAGCAGAGCCCTGAGCAAAACAGCTGAGAGCAAATCAGCTGAGAGTCGGGAGGCCGATAGAATCAAGGGGCTAATTAGCCTATGCTGAAGCTCCACGGGCCAATAACATTACAAAAGAACACCGAACCGTTTGTTAAATTGCTGGCTCGCCCACCCCTCGCCCACCACTATTTTTTGGCAATAAATAGTGGTGCGGAGGGGCGGGGCAAGGGGCGGGGTGAGCCAGCAATTTAACAAAGGGTTTGGCCGAACCCCCTAGAACCGGCAGAATCCCACCACTGAGTATATGGGTGCATTATTTTGGTATATGGGAAACAGCAGTCTCCTCTTAATATTGTTAACAGAAAGAAATATTCTGCTTCTATAAATGAAATTCTATTTTTTGCAGTTATCTTAATTATTTCAGAAATCCACACAAAAATACAACATAGTAAGGAAGCACAGTAAATGCAATAATCCCAGATCCTTAGGAAGGTCTTGATAGGTGGATAAAAATGCCAAATCCAGTCTAATCATCTGGCTGTCTGTGCGATGTATAATAATAATTCCCTTTAGGTTGGGAACATCCTGGATAGGCAACTGTGTGAGCTAGTTCCTCCAGTTTTTTTGGCAAGATTTTTGGAAGCGGCTTGCCTCCTTCCTAGAGCTGAGAGAGATTGGCCTTAAATCCTCTAACTGGACTCGTGCCAAAAGTAGGACTAGAACTTAATTTTGAAGCTTCTAGCTGGTGCCTTAATCACCAAGCTGGCTCTCTCACTCTCACTCTATACTGATTACTTGGTAACTTCATTTCAGAATATTCAGATTTTGATTTGATATTTGTAATACGCCAGGATTTGTAATAATGATATCAGTTTTGCCGTGTCATACCAAACTATAATGTTTATAGATAATTTTTTCCAACTGTCATATAACATAAATCCTCTTGAATTTGCTTACAAAATGTTTGGCTACTACAGTTAACTTTTCAAATCTCCATTTGTTTTTGATAATAAGTTATTTATACTATTTCTGTAAAAATTTAGGTTTATTAATCTTATCTTTATTTTTAAATATATAAATATGTGGCTGTAGAAACAGAACTCAGAACTGTTGGATTATCTGATTAGGTCTGTTTTAACACTGAAAAATAAATCATTGTGATGGTTTTTATTTATGTTTTTTGCAAAGAAATCTTATAATTGTTGACTGTACTATATGATTTTCAATTTTATTTTAAAAACAGCAGTAATTACTGAAAAACATACCATTTGTAGCCGTATCTAAGAATTAGTGGGAAAATAAGCAATAAGTTGAACTTACTTTCTTTGTGATTTGGAGCTACAGCAATGCCCAAATTAATTAAGCTATACATTAAGTGGTTTGTGTATGATTTACAAAAACAAAACTAAAATTCTGGCAATTTGTATAAAAATTTCACAAGCAGTAGAAATTCTGATTTAAGTATGTAAAACCATTGAATACAAATCAAGATACTGTACCTAACATAGTCTATCCAAAGAGTAGACCCATTCTAATCAGTGGGACTTAAGTTAACCATGCCTATTGAGATACATTTTTTCAATTGATTTGCCCTAAAGATGAGAAGATTTGAATTTAATATAAAGCATCTTAAAAAGGTTGATGCATCCAATTTCAGTTGTGCTTTTTAAGTTCTAAACTATTGCTCTGCTTTCATCTTTAATTATCAGCTCTAATATTACCATCTCCTTAATAATGATTTAATCCATTTTGAAAAGGTTGAATTCTTACACTAACATATGATAAATGAGCTTAGCATTATTGTAAATTAAAGAACAGTAATTTATACAAGGAAACACATGATTAGAATATAACAAAAGCCATTCCTATTAAGCACTAAATTTTATTATTTTGATACAAAGAGAAGCATTTATTCCATTAGGGATAGGAGCTTCGAAAAAGAAAAGAAAACCCTTAATTTTACAAAATTGGAAATCTTGTTTCTGTGTCTTGTACATATATCCTTATATATTATATCAAAAGATAGCTAACTTTTCAGTACAGAGATAATTAGTATAAAAATCAAGCAAGCCACTGAGAAAAATAAGACATTTTCTAGAAATGTATGATAAAAATATCTGATCTATGTGCTTGTTTTATTTATTGGTTTGGTCTGTTTTAATTTTCTATTAGAGGAGGGAAATGTTGAGTGAAATGAGACTGGAATAGCAGAGAAAACTGGACAAAGTATCAAAATTGTTTTTTGCAATTTTTTCCCTTAGAATTTGATGATATAAATTAGGCTGAACAAAAGATTAAATGCAGGGCTCAAATTCTTTTCTGATTCTTTTTAGAACCTGTTACATATTTTTCATCCATAGTATTGGATGCTTATTCATGTTGACATGTATGTATGACCATGTTCCATTGAAATGTATAACATAAGAAAGTTATGAAAAGTAACATGATTTTGAACAATTGATATGTCTATTAAATTGAGGGGATTTTTGTCCTTATAGGTTCAGTGAAAGATTTGTAAAAATAGACACTTGATGACATTCAATCACATCAAATTTTATGCATGTGCCTAAATAAAATTCAGTTACATCTTAACTTTGCAGGTTTGCCCCAAGTATGCTCAAGACCAAGCAATCTGATTTATTTTGTTGCAGGGAAATTAAGGCCTATATCTATGCCGGTAGAATATAACTGGGTAGGGGATTATGAAGAACCTAGCAAAACAAAAAGAGATAGCAGGAGAGGTAAGTAATTCCTATTACAAATTATGCATAGCATTATTTGATTATTTATTAGAAATAATTTCATTCCAAAATAGATAATCTTTAATTATATATTTTCATTAACTATTCAACAGTTTTTATGATACACATAGATTTGGGGGGGGGGGAGCCTTGTTAATATATTTGGTTGATCATCATCATCACCATCATCAACATCATTTTAGCTATTGTCTATCCACTGCAGGATGAAGGCCTCTTCCACATATTTCCAACCAATTCAGTCCTGAGCTTTCTTTTGTCAATTGGGCCCACAATACTAGCTAATGTCATCGATCCATCTTGTTTTAGGTCCCTTTCATGGATGCTTTTTATTAAATGGAATCCCACTTGATTTGGTTGATATTTAAGCATATATGTTGTTTATATTTAATTAGTATCCTAAATTATGAATGGCTGTTTCCTAACTTATCAATTTTATAAGTGTGTGTCATATTGAATCAGGAAGAACGTAACTAAAATGTTCCATTGATGTTCTCTTCCACCATGCATTTAAAATGTCCCCCCCCCTTTAAATGATTAGAATATACTGCACATCAAAACACTTTATCTATAGAGTACATCACATTGCATGTGGGCCTTCAGATCAGGACACTGTGATGTAAATTAGTACTTGGGGATATAAACTGTGGCAAGTTCTAATCATATTTTCTCTGAAAACTTTAATACTCTGGAAGAGCTAAGGAAATGCAGTAATATACAGATATCTGCAGGGGAAAAACTGATGGTTACTGTTGCCTGTCTGTTCTATTTACATCAGTAGAAAAATATCAGTAAATTTTATTTATATTAAAGCAAAAAAGCAAGATAAAATTAGTGGGGCCTTGTTAAAAAATACTCTGTAATAATAGCAATAGCATTTAGACATATATATTGCTTCACAGTGTTTTACAGCCCTTCCTAAGCAGTTTAGAGTCAGCATATTGCCCCAAACAATCTGGGTCCTCATTTTACCAACCTCAGAAGGATATATCTTCCTCTTTTTCTATGTTAGTATTGTATATGCTTTGACAACTATTCAGAAGTGCTTTGGAACACATGGAAGGGCAGTATCTCTGTGTTATACATTAAACAAATTCAACTGCCTTCATGTTTCAATGTAAATCTGGGGCGGGGGGGAAGGCTGCTGTGATGCTTCTGAAAGAAAGGCAGGATATATATCTAATAAAAACCAACGAACCAAATAAATGAAGAGGTCATGAAATTGGTGTTATTTTAGTGCAAGACCCAAAGCACTTTATAAAAAAATCATGTTTTTTTCCAAGTTTCCAAGTTTATTTATTTGTCAAATAAATAAAGATAACAGATATAAGTATAAACATGATTATGAATACAGGATAAGGATATGAATAAATGGGGACAGTAGGACAGGGACAGTAGGCACGTTTGTGCGCTTATGCATATCCCCTCTTAGGAATGGGGTGAGGTCAACAGTAGACAGTCTATGGTTAAAGTTATGAGGGTTTGGGGAAGTAATCACAGAGTCAGGTATTGACTCAGGCATTGACCACTCTGTTGCTGAAGTCGTATTTTCTGCAATCAAGTTTGGAGCGGTTTTGTTGTGGTCCGCTGGTGGCCTGTGGAGCTGGCAGCAGAGTCGGACAGTGAGGAGGTTAGGGAGGAAAATGGGCCAGTTCTGGAGTCTGGGGAAGACTTGGATGAAGGCTCTGTGTTGGAGGCAGAGATGGGGCCAGAGCCATCTGGGAGTTAAGTGCTGCTTCTGGAGCCTTCAGAGTCAGACATCAGCAAGGCAGAGGAACAGGGGGAGCATGCGCAGAGCTGCCAGGAGGCAAGAAGTGTTAAGACAAAAGGGACGACTTGGGAGTAGGACTTTGAGATGATTGGCTCCTCCCATAAGACATAAAGGAGGAGCAAAGGCACGTGAGCCTTTGCAGGAAGCAACTTTGTTCATTCTGGTCGGTTTGAATTCTGAAGCTCCATTTTGACACTGTGCTCCGTGTGGCCTTGCAAAGCTAATTGCCTATTAGGACTTTGGCAGCGTGTCAAGGGACCTAAAGGTGGGTAAGCATCAGCCTTATCCCGAAAGTCTGTGGCAGACCTCTGTCAGACTCATTACGGGCTGTGAATGAACATAATTCACAGCTGTTAAAATAAAAAGAGGGTTTTTGGGACTAAGCGTGTGCTTTTTACTGTCTCAGGAAGCCTAGTTCAGAACAGGTTTACCTTAAGTTTGTATCTATTGTGTGCTTCTGTATTATTGCAGTTGAAGCTGAAGTAGTCATTAACAGGTAGGACATTGTAGCAGGTAATTTTGTGTACTACGCTTAGTTCAGACCGAAGGCGGCGTAGTTCTAAATTGTCTAATCCCAAGATTTCAAGCCTGGTGGCATAAGATATTTTATTGTGAGTAGAGGAGTAGAGGATTCTTCTCGTGAAATATCTCTGAACTCGCTCAATTGTATTAATGTCCTTTATACAGTGTGGGTTCCAGGCAGATGAGCTGTATTCAAGAATTGATCTAGCAAAGGTTTTGTATGCCCTAGTTTGCAGTACAATATTACCGGAGAAGAAGCTTCACAAGATTAGGTTAATAACTCTTAATGCCTTTTTGGCAATGTTCTTGCAGTGAGCTCTGGCACTTAGATCCTTTGAGATGAGTACTCCAAGGTCCATGAAAGAATGAGGGTCATCTACGAGGTCGTATCCACCCAGCTTGTATTTGATGTTCTGATTTTTTTTGTCGATGTGTAAGACAGAGCATTTGTTGGTTGATATTTGGAGTTGCCAATTGTTTGACCATTCTGACACATAGTCAGGTTCTCTTTGAAGGGTAGCAGCATTGTCGGTGGTGCTGAATAGTTTTACATCATCAGCAAAGAGAATGCAGTTGCTTATAATATGATCGCAAAGGTCATTTATGTAAAGTATAAAGAGTGTAGGTCCTAAAATGCTGCCTTGGGAGACACCACTGTTAACAGGTGCAGGGTTTGATAGGGTGCTCCCTATTTTGACTACTTGTTTCCTGTTTGACAGGAACGCAGATATCCACTTATGCAGGGATCCAGAAATGCCATAAAATTTGAGTTTTAAAAGTAGTTTGTAGTGTACCACTGAATCAAAGGCTTTGCAGAAGTCTATATAAATTGCGTCTATTGCTTTACCCTGGTCAAGTTGTGTAGTCCATATGTTTTTGCAGTGTAAGAGTTGTAGATTACAGGACAAATTTTTCCTGAAACCAAACTGCTTGTTAGAGTGTAGGTTGTTTGACTCTAAGTTGAGGGTAATGGTTTATGATTGATTCCATGACTTTGCAGGTGACGCAACAAAATGAGATTGATCTGTGATTTTCAACTAGGCTGGGGTCACACTTTTTGAAGATAGGGATGACCATGGCCAGTGACCATAGGTTAGGCAAGGAGCTGATTCTGAAAGATATTTTATAGATTATGCTTAGAGGTTCTGCTATGGCAGTGGAAAGCTTTATTAAGAAGTAGGCACATAATCCATCATGGCCAATAGATAGAGATGGTTTTAGGCTGCGTAGTGCCTTTTCAATGTTATCTTCTGTAAAATCGATATGTAGTAGATCATTGTAATTAGTTGTGGTATGACTAGGAAATGTGGGGCATGAGCCATTGCTGTTTACAAAGACTGAACCGAAGAACGTGTTGAAGAGGTTGGCCTTAATGGTTTCATTATTACAGTCTTTCCCGTTAGGCCCTTTTAGGGGTGGGATGGATCTCGAGTCTTTAAGTTTGTTGTTTACAAAATTATAGAAAGCGCAGTTCCAAAGTGTATGTCATACATTCTGTTCATTTCACTTTAATCTTTTGTTGATTTGCCCAATGGCAATCAATGTTCTTCTCTCTGATCATTGTCCTCCTTCCTCTGATTGGTCTTCTTGGTTCCATATTTTCCAATTTATCATGGGTCTAGCTGAGGCTCTATTCTTCCAGGTTGTTTTCTTTGTTCATTTCTCCTGTCTATTATTTTTATTATCGCTAGTGCCAGTGAAATACAATTTGTTGTATTTCAAATTTCAGGGAAATTGAAGGAAAAGTTAAATGAAGTTTCTTTGATCCAACTTATAACAAGGATCATCTAAATCAGAGCAAGAACTGATCTGATTGGTACTGGCAATGTCCTGAATTTGCAGTATTGGTTCTGTGTAGTTTAAAAAGTATCCCTTCATCTTTTGACTGCTTTATTGCCTCTAATTACTAAGCAGAAAACTCAACTTGAATTTACTTTCTTAAATTACTGTTCTGTGGTGGTAAGTTATTGATTTGAAGTAAAAGAGAGAAGGCAAAATCACTTCTTTCTCATCTGAATGTCAAAGCTGAAGAACAGTCAAATACTGAATTAATTGCTGACTCACAACAGAATATCAAAAATAAAAAGGGGGAAGCTTTGTGGGGCTCTATTTCTTTAAAATCTGTTTCTTATGATTTGCAGTCTTTTAGAAAGACTGAATTTGTGCAGATAAAAAGCAGAATGAATGAAGTGAAAGTCAACTTTTTGGAAATAAAGCAAAGACATGATTCTTCTGATTTTAAAATGGTATAATTAAAACTTTAGTTATGATTCATATGAAAAAATAATTCAGCTTGAATTTAAAAAGTAGTTTGAAAGTAAATATATTCAACATGAAGTAACCAATTTACAGGGTACTTCAAGAGTATTCAAATGCTCAGGTATTTTTTGTATTCTAGAATAATTTGGATTAAATTTTGAAATGAGTAGATATAGCATTATTAATAAGATTTTATATAATTAAAACATTTTTGTACTTTATTCGCAACAGTATTTGTTTTTGAGAGGCAAGTATGTTTATTATGCAACTGCTTTTAGTTAGACTTATGTTAAATTGATAATATTTAAGAAATAATTTTGTAATACATTTTTATACCTCCTGTCTAGAAAATTCACTTCTTCGATATATGAGTAATGAGAAAATAGCACAAGAAGATTACATGTTCCAAAGGAACAGCAAAAAGGACACAGGGAAAAAATCTAAAAAGAAAGACAAGAATAATAGTCCTAGTCATTATTCTCTATTACCTAGTTTACAAATGGAATCATTAAGGCAAGACAATATGAGCACACCTGGGCCTGAAACAACTTTGTACCATGTAAGTAAAATGATAAAATACTTCATTCTTTGTTGATACTGTTGTTGAATATCTAAAATATCTAAATATGACTACATGTATTTGTTAACACCTTATATCAATGATGGCGGGTGCCAAAAGCACGCACGTGCATGCCCACACCCATAATTCAATGCCCCCCGCACCCCAGCCCCCTGCACATGCATGCACGACACCCCTGCACTCCCCCTCACATGCACGCACGACACTCTCTCATCCCGCTTTGGGCCTAGCAGGCCTCCCTGAAGCCTCTGGAGGCTGGAAACAGCCCATTTCCGGACTTCTGGTAGCCCCGTTTTTCACCCTCTCCATGCTTCAGAGGCTTTCCTGGAGCCTGGGGAGGGCAAAAACAGCCTTCCCCGCCTCCCCGGAGGCACTCCAGAAGCCGGAAACAACCCGTTTCCCAACTTCCGGTGGGCCCGGTAGGCCAGTTTTTTCCCTCCCTAGGCTCCAGAGGCTTTCTTGGAGCCTGGGCAAAAACGGCCTCCCCCGCCTCCCCGCAGGCTCTCCGGAAGTCAGAAACAACCCATTTCCCGACTTCCAGTGGGCCCAGTAGGCCCATTTTTTTGCCCTCCCCACTTGGAGCTGGGGAGGGTGAAAATGGCCTCCCCCATGCCCCGGAGGCCCTATGAAGGCCAAAAACGCCCTCCAAGAGCCTTTGCATGAGCCCTGTACTTACCTGGCATCCAAAATGGGCCACTTGGAGACTCCTGGGAGGGGAGGGATGGCATGGGCAGGGCCAGCCGAAAATCAGCTGGTCAGTGCATGCTGGAGCTTAGCTAGGGCAACAGTTCACATGCCCGCAGAATTGGATCTATGTGCCACCTGTGGCACACATGCCATAGCTTCGCCATCACGGCCTTATATGTTCTTATGTTTTAAATATTATTTCCAACCTTATTTTTTATTTATTTATTTATTTTATAAAATTTTTATTTTTATTTTTAAAACAAAAACATAAAACACATCTTTTCAAAACGAAGCTTTTGATCTGGTCACATATTAAGGCAAATCATTAACAAATCTTATTTTTCAATTAACACAACTAAATATTTTAAAACAAGTATTTCCCTCAAATCTATCTATATAACTATGATATATAGTTATATAGTTATAACCATTATCCCCAAAAACCTGTTACTTAAATCTTAAATCCTAACCAGTTATCAATTCATTTTTCTCTTTCATTTGTTTAGATGGATATTTTAACAATATAAATCATGCAATTGTATTAAGCAAATTAAACATTCATTAATTATTTAATTATTATTAAACCTAACTTATGCATTTTATCTTAACTATCACTCTCAACATACACCTCCTCATTTTGGTTATCCCACCTCTTTTTATTATCTTTGATGTTAAACCAATCATTTCTATTTCTTGACTGTTAATCACAGCATAACTCTTTGTTTTGGCTATTGAATATAGCATATTTTTATTTTTTGGCCGTTACACGGCATCTTCAGGTTTGTTTGGCTGTTAAACACAGCATCTCTCAGATTTGTTTGGCTGTTGAACACATCATTGCTATTTTTGTTTTTTGGCTGTTACATGGCATATTAAGTTTCGTTTTGGCTGATATCCAGCATGACCATTTGTTGGCTGTTCAATACAGCATATTATAACTTTTTGGCTGTTAAATACAGCATGTTCATAGTTGGTTTAACAATCTCTACTTAAATCTTTCTTTGTTGTTTCCCTCCATCTATGCATTGCTTTTTATTTAATCATATTTTCCTTTATCCTTTTTCATAGCATTCATAACATTTTAACCTTCAGACATGGTTCTTGCTTAAAACATATTTTTAAGTATATTTTTAAATTCCTTGTAACATTTTCAATTAATCATATTTACCCTTATTCTTTACCTTAACATTTTACCATTAAAACATAGTTCTTGCATTAAACATATCTTACATGAATTAATTAGTTTCATTTAACATTCTTAATTTCTATAAAAGCCTCCCTTTAATTTATTGCAATCATCTTTACTTTATTTTATTTTTAATCACATTATCTTCATTTCCTCATCTGCAAACATAAATTTCCTTCCATTTTCCAAGTTTTTAATTTTATTCTCCATTAGTCCAATTAAATCTCTTTTCATATTTTTATTCCGGATATAATGTATCAAATCTCTTTGTTTTAAGGCTGCGCTTAATCCTTCTTCTATTCCTGCACCAACATTCAAATTATTATTTATTCAACTTTAGGAGTTCCATTGTAGATTCCTTTTCTTTTCACCAAATTCCAGCTGCTTGCAGTCAGGAAAGCAAAATCCTCCTCCACAGTTCAACAATTTTTATTTCTGTAGAGCTCAAAGTTCTCATAACAAAAGGAGGTTATAAAGTTCCTCTTTACACCAGATGGTGTCTCTCTATAATTCACGTTTCCTATTAGTCATGCAAGACTCCATTTTATTTCTTATTATTTAACCATCCACTTTATTTTCTTCTTTTAGTTAAAAAAAGTATCAAATCTTCTTTTCTGTTTTTTTCCCTTGGTCCAATTCAAATATTTAAAGTGTTTAGTCCTTTTACCATATCTCTAAATTAAGTCTCTTAGTTCTGTTCCAAAATTAGTTGTTTCTCGGGTCTTTGTTCTTTAAAGTTACAGTTTAAGAAATTTCCAAAGCCCCTTTGTTACTTAGCCGCTGTTTTAGGCTAGGGGTCTTCTAGTTACTAATATAACTCCAAACGTTGTTACGAGCCTGGGCTGTTGTCACTCACCCGGCTTCAAAAGGCTCCGTTTTACTTCGCTTTCCTTCAGCACTTTTCTTGCCTGGTTGTCACAGCTTCATGGCAGCCGCCATGGCTGCCGCCCCCCGCCGCCAACTCAGAGGGTTCCCTCTGATCTCTGAGGAACTTGCCTGTTCCTCTTGGTCTTCCGAGGTGCCCCTCTTCTTCCCCTGTCCCTGCAGGACAGGTTCGGTCCGCAGACCCATCAGCAGCGGTTCAGCAGCCGGGGTTTTCACGGAACTCATCAGAGCCTGCTATTTCCCCGACTGTCTCGCCGCAATGTCAACCGGAAGTCCAACCTTATTTTTTATTATTATTATGATTCATCGCACATTCTGTTAGATGGTTAGATTGGATGTGGCATTTTTATCCACCTATTAAATCCTTCTCAAGGACCTGACATGTTATTGAATGATGGTGTTAAAGGTATTGTCTCAGGATGTAAATTGCTCCAAATAAAGCTGCTTTTTGTAATTGATGCTGATTTTGTCAATGCTAATGGTGTTCACCCACTGCGCTCAAGGCGCCTATCACTATTGATAATATTTTTGTTTTATTTTGCCACAGTGTTATTACTGTTATTCCTTCAAATAAGTGTTGAGTTGTAAAAAGTGCCTGCAGGTCAATTCAGTTTTCTTGGCAAGGTTTTTTTAGAAGTGAAATTGTTTTTGTCTCTTTCCTATGCCTGACAAATTGATGGGCTCAGAATCACCCAGCCAGTTTTTCACACTTAAGGCAGAAGTAGAATTCACAGTCTCCAGTTTTTTAACCTGATGTCTTAACCATTACACCAAACTGGCTGTTTGGATTATTATTAAATATTATTATTTTAATATTAAATGAAATAGGAAAGTCTGTCTTTTCAGTGGTTTAATTTGTAATGCACTGTTCTTACTATTTTTTGTGAAGGCAGGAAGCTGGGGAGTAGTATTACATGTGTACAGGTAGTCGTCAACAGTTCTTTTAGTGACCATTCAAAATTACAATGGCACTGAAAAAAGTGACTTATAATTTTTCACACCATTGCAGCATCCCTCTGGTCATGTGATCAAAATTCAGTTGCTTGGCAACTGGTTCATATTTATGATGGCTACAGTGACCTGGTTTATGTGATCACCTTTTGCGACCTTCTGACAAGCAAAGTCAATTATTCACTTAACAACTTGCCAACAACTGTGGGAAGAAAAGTTGTAAAATGGGGCAAAACTCATGTAACAAACCTTTCATTTAATAACATAAATTTTGGACTCAATTGTTGTCATAACTCAAGGAAATTTTTTAACAAACATATATAATGGAGCTAAAGCTATTGGTTTGCATCAGCGATGCTATTCAGCCGGTTTTATACAGTTCGGACGAACCGGTAGTGGCCGCTGCGGGAGACTCCACCCACCCACCTGGATATCATCACATTTGTTTTTGATGCTGTGCACATGTGCAGAAGGTCCTGTGTGTGCGCATGCTCCCATTTGCAAACCAGTAGCGAAGGTAAGTGAATACCACCCCTGGTTTGCATGAAGAAAAATGTCAAAGATTAAATAAGTGGCTCCCAGAAACCTGGTCACCTGGTATTCAGCTTAAATCTGGCAATTAAATTCATATAAAACTTTTTGATTTCAAGAATTACTAATTTTTTTTTTTGAATGACCATTAAAAAAAACATTAAAAACATTAAACCATGAGTCTTTGTTAGAATGAGGGAAAGACAAGCTTTTTGCAGTGCATAGCCAGTATAGTATAATGTATTGATTTATACATGTAAAATAAAAAACCAAACCTATAAATGAATGAATGAAAATATTAATATTCATCCAGATAGACCGACACAGACACAAAAAATATATAGATATCAGTGGTGAAATCTAAACTTTTTTACTACTGGTTCTGTGGGCATGGTGTGGCTTGGTGGACGTGGCTTGGTGGGTGTGACAAGGGAAGGATACAGCAAAATTTCCATTCCCACCCCACTCAGGGGAAGGATACTGTAAAATCCCCATTCCCTCCCCACTCATGGGGGAAGGATATTGCAAAATCTCCATTCCCACTCCACTCTGGGACCAGCCAGAGATAGTATTTGCTGGTTGTCCAAACTACTCAGAATTTCTCTCTATCTATCTATCTATCTATCTATCTATCTATCTATCTATCTATCTATATATATATAGTAGCTTTATGGTGCATTTATCTTCTAATAGAAAACATTTCTTTTGCATTCTCTAAAACATGCAGACTGTTGCTGAA